CAAAAAACAACATTCCAGTGATGGAACATCCACCGTATTCTCCGGACCTAGCACCGTGCGACTTTTTTCTCTTCCCAAAAATCAAGTCTGCGCTGAAAGGGACCAGGTTCGAGTCCGTGGATGCAGTGAAAGCAAAAGCGACGCAACTCTTGAAGAGCATAACACAAGATGACCTGCAGCACTGCTTCCAACAGTGGAAAATTCGCATGGAGCGGTGTAGGGATCGGGGAGGGGACTACATTGAAGGGGATAACATTTCGACTGTCTGATTTTTTTTTAATAAAGGGTTAGAGCATGAATCCGGTTTCTTTATTGCCACACCTTGTACTGTCATGTTCCCATTCATTCCCCTATGGCCTATATTGACCAACTGAAAGCAGTTTTCACTACTGAAGGTCATCACTACTAACATTCATGCAAACAGAATGATTAGATGGCTGGGGGAGCATAATGGAAGTACAGTGGAGGGAGAAACAACAGCTTGAGGGGGATGTGGACAAGGTTAATCCAGAGGATTTCTGTCATTGGTGTCAGTATAGTCTGATAAAAATAAGCCACTTGTTTCAATATGTATGAGAGGACAGGCACACAGCAAGGAAAAGAGAGTAAATGCTCTAATATAGGTGATTTTCACACCAACAAATAAGTACACGTTAGTTACTTACAGTAGCAGCGAGGGTTCGATCACGTTCACAATCAAACAGGAAAGTATCAAAAACAGAAATGTGTGCTGAATCCCAAAGAGTGGTGAGATACGTTTCTGTAAACTCAAATGCAGATGGAAACTGCTGGAGAAGCTGCCACATGCAGTCCAAGAAAGCCAGAAATTCTGGTGACTGTAACTATCAAAAAAGAAGTATAATTTTAATGCGGAACTGCTGTAGTTACTATTATCTGGCAACAAGTGAAATCTTCACCTCATCTCAGAGTACACAGTAAGTTGTGTTACCTGTTTAGACTCGACGCTGAGCACGTGGGCCAAGCGAGTGCAAAACGGATGACCGAGAGCTACCCATTCTTTCTGAACGAGTGTTTGGAAGCCACGTAATGAACGCCAATATGGATCCAACAAAACTTGCAATAGACTTGCCACAATGCAACACATGTCCCGTCCGTCACCCTCTGCAATTCAATTTATAAAAACTGATATTAGCTTGAACAAATGGATTCAACTACAAAAACTACATACATTTTCCCCTATAACATAAATCTGACTCCATACATTGTCTACAGTAGAATACCTATTTAATGAATCTCTGGGGAATGGCTTTTCTTATACTGAACAGAGGTTTTCACTAAATGGAGGTCAGGCAAAATTACAATAAACCATAAGTGGCATGACTTCAACATGTGTTCAGTATGTGACATCATTTTCCAAAGATCATGATCGCTGTGCAGTACCCAGTTCTAAAACGGGAAATGTAGTAATGGTAATGAAAAAGAAGGATGTCAAAAGATATAATTCTTTCAAATACAAATTTTGTTGTAGCTCATAAACTAACATACTACACTTACCATAGTACTATATGGCACACTTCTTTCCTGGGAAATACTGCCCAAAATCTGAATTTGCTTTATTGTCCCAAAGTGTTTCCAAATATAAGTAATAAAGGTCTTTCTTAAACTTCTCCCTAAAATATGTGCACATCTTGTAGTCCAACTGTGTTTCCAAGCATAAGCAATAAAGGCTTTTACCTAAAATATTTCTCTAAAATCTACAAGTACCTTATATTCCGTGTTTCAAAATATATGCAATACAGGATATTCCCCTAAAAAATCCCTCTAAAAATCTGCTAGCATTTTATAGTCCAAATGTATTTTAAAATATAATCAAAAATTTTCCCTATAATTTTCCTCAAATCTGTGTGTGGTTATAGTTTGAACGTGTTTCCAAATATAAGTAATAACTGCATCAACATGTTAATGAAAAAATTTGATGAATTTAAACTGTTATGAGCTCACCCTGTAGCACTACTGTTAAGTCTTCCTGGATGGCACCTGCAGCTTCGATGGCTTTACGTAAACATGCTGATACAATATGAAGCCACTGACTGTCCTCAAGCAGAGAGAAGAAACGATTATCTTGAATCCAAAACTGCTGAAGACTTTCTGTAACATGACAGAATCTTACTTACAGAATATATGAAACTACAAATTTCTGGAGTATATTAAGAGAGGTGTTAGATAAGCCTGCTGTCACTGCCCATTAGTCCTAATAATTAGTCTCAGCACTGCAATATAAAATCAATTTCAGTTAGTTAATGATATGACCAGAAGATGGCAGCAATAAACTACAGTTTCAGTTAGTATTACAATACTGACCTTTGCAGAAAAATGCTGCCACCTCAGCCACCAGACTTATTCTGTCAAGCTGTCTTTCTGGGACTCTTCAATTCAAGAGACTGCATATTTAATGAAACTGTAATTTTGAATTGTCCCTGAAGGGCTATAATGTGTAAAAGTGGCCCCTACAGCTAGAGATGTCAATTATCAAGTTCTCCAGTTGAATTTTCAGTAGGTTTATAATATTATATTTCAGCATCCTGTTACACTCACACAATATATATGGATAAATACCGTCTTAAGTGCAACAAATTTTATTGTAATTTTTACTTCTTTTCCTCCTCCACACTACATGTTTCGGCTCTAAATGGCCATCATCAGGTGTGTATCATTCACGTAGCTGTTACACTGCTTGTTAAAATTTAAAATTACCAGTCTTTCTAATTGTATAAAATCTTTGTTAATCTACACGCGTCGATTTGATTTTTAAATTAGCACTTTTTTAAAACTTAATTCAAGTTAAAATGTCTACAAGATCTCTGTTCTTTCTTTTTCAAATTTTTAGTTAAAATTTTTCAGGGTACATGCCCTATATCTACGGCGCTGCAGCGGCCACTTCTTGTTTTTATC